TACGTACCCAGTGGTTATTGCGTGATTTGAGAAAGCATAATAAACAGTCGGCGCTCACAACGCTATCACTTGGCTGCTACCTGCCCGGTCGCGATATATGCATGATATAATGTCAGGAACGGATGTGCCTGTCTGCCAAGAGGTGGTGCCATTGTAACGTGCTCATTTAGAATTCAGTCTTATTTTATTAAATGGTATTTTGTGTATCTTTTTCAAAGTTGCCGTTGTAGGATGAATGTTCTATTCTGTAGCATATGTGAGCTAGACTTGTAAACATGTACTATTATTTTGAATTTTTATGTGAGGCTGAGGAGGAATTTCAACTGACTTCTTAATTAATAATAAATAAGAAATCTAATTCCAACAGTTGTTTGCGGTAGCCGTTCAAAATTACAAATTTTACGAGTTGTGTACATACCCTATTGTCCATTTTTGGGGTTTTCATTGTTTTTACACACGTCATCTAAAATAACAAAGAGCAAAAGTGAAAGTTAAATACGGCACAATTACTGTTAATTTTAAAATTTTGTTTTAAGATCAGTCTTGCATTATTCTAAGCCCCAATGTCACTAAAGCTCGTAACCAAATATGCTTCATGTAACAAGGGGTCCAAAGGCCACATTTTGCCATGTTCAGTACCCCTGCACTAACTCATCATCATTTTTTCACAACTGATACACTTAAGCCACTTCTTTACCTCAGCAGTGAGATTTGCAATGTAATATAGATGTAATGGAGTTTATTCATGCCTTCGAAAATAGCGTATCAAAATCACTTATTTAATCATTTGAAGTTTGTGAAGATTTATTTAATGACTTGTTCACAAATTTTTAGTGGCTAAAAAACGAATCCGTAATTTCATTAATATATAAGCCAAGAAAAATTCAGTTGTAAGTTTAGGCACATTTAGCAATCTGTTTTGCTCTACCTTGGAATTGCCAAACCGCCCGGGTTATTTTTTACCTTACTCACATTTAATAAACGAATGAATTTATTCTTGTAGATGCGTTAATATGAAAAATTTCTGCGTAAGAGGAACAAAGCGAAAATAATTTAATGGCTTTATGGTCAAACGCAATGGATGCGTTGCGCGTTTTGCGTGACGCACAGAGTGTCAAAATAAAATTGACTTGATATATGTATACGAAGTTGGACATTTGCGTTATATTTTGCATTGAAGCAAAATTTTGCAAGCTTTTGAAATTCCGGCTTACTTCGTTTTTGACATGTAACACAACGGTACATATATGAAAACAGAACAAAATCGTAGCGTTCATATTTCAAACACAGTATAATTTTAATGGGATCATTTACATATTAATTAAAAAGAAAGTAAAAATGCTATTATCGAGCAAGCCCCTCCGTCAGGCACCCTACATCACTTTGCGTAGTTAATAATATTTTGATAATTATGCATTAGTTCTATGTAAATGCGTTCCATTTCAAATCGTAAAGTTCCATGAAAGCTTTCATATTGGCAATCTTAATTTACTTGTCAAATATTTTATTATTTTCCAGTTGCTCTCGCTCTAGCAAGTCACAAATTAAGCTTTGTCGCTATAGAAGATTCAGCTTTAATAAGAGCTCTCATCTGTGGTGTGGCATAATACATAGATGTATGTAATCCAAATTCCTTATGATTGATTTCCTAAGGAAATCATAAAATATTAAAAATTAGACCTTTTAGAACTTTGGGATCCTCAAAATCGACCTGCCTGATCCGAATTCGGTAAGGTTAATTTATATGTCAAATTATTATTATCAACGAACTTTCACGACAAAGTATTGAATCCATTTAGGGATTCAGCTTCCGTAGGGACGCGTATAAAGTCGAAAATTTGTCTTCTCTGATCCAGTAGCTAACCGATTTTTGTCGCGAAAATCTAAAAATTACAATACGTTTCCTTATAACGATATCTCTAATCAACCATTGTTTCACTAATCGGTCAAAAATTTAATTGGTTTTTACATTAATTTTCTTATCGCTGCTTCTCATATATTCATTTATATCCTAGTTCTACTTCTCAAACCATATATTTTGTCTATATTTACATCGATTTCCTCATTTCTTCTTATAAAATAATATGGTAACGCGACTGCCCATTGTGTTGACCACTTGCGACTTATTAACTCCAGAAACGAAATAACGCACCGTTGTGTGAAGACCTTATAAATTGTTTCATATCCGTTCTGTTTTTCGTTTTTACTTTCAATAGAAACTTTGTAGAGAGACACTTTAAAAGACCAAAGTTGTTAAGTACCTACACTCCAAAAATGTAACCTTAAGATTAGAGACAACTAGATGGCAAGATATCCTAACATTTTCTTGAAAGTACAAGTTAATAAAATCTCAGGAATTGTTCCTGTTTCTGTTATCAATACCAGTAGCACCGCTGTTAATTAGCAGCCATTTGGGTGCTTTGCCTTCCAATCTCATTGTGTGGGCAAGAAATCAGTTGACCTTTTACACTGAATCAAAGGTTAAATATCAACTCATATAAATAAACTTATTTTTGCACTAAGTTTCGATTAACAAAACTTCTATTTTAGAATTTCATTACTCCAATTGAGTGTAATTACAGAAAAGCACTTAGGTTAAGTGGCTTAATTTATACTTTCTGTTGATTTTAACTTATTTTTTGGTTTTATATTTGATTAACTTATATTGACTATTGATTTTTGTCTGGGAATTGCCGATAGAGTTAATAGAAGCGATTTACATTGGAGGATGTTTATCTTGCGAAGTGTTTGTTCATCTACAGTGGTTGTTAGTTCAGGTGGTCAGCTGATCTGGATATTGCGGCATTTTACCTATTGATAATTTGCGGCATCTTTGTATTATGGGTGGTTAATTGATGTGATAAGTTTCGGTGCTGTCAGAGATATTAATGAGAATCCAATTATTGTTTATTGCTGATGAACATCTATTTCTTAGGGTTTCAATGTGTACGAGGGTAATTCTTCCCCCTTTAGGTACTATCGTCTCAATTACTAGAATGTAGATGATGTACAGATGCTTTTGGGTTTTGGGTACCGTTTCTAATTTTTCCCGTTCTTGTTTTCCTTTCCTTTTCTCGCATCTGATGTTTTGGAATTTTCAAATGATGGTTCTAATTAGTATTATGGTTGCAAGTGCTCCGAATGTGCACTTGGTTTTTATTTCTAAGATTTTGAATTTCTTTATGTTTTTAATTTCGAGCGTGTAGTCTTTCAAGAGATAAAAGCTCTTCTATGGTATCTCCATCGTCTTTTGGTTATAAAAATGCTGGGATTTGTTACCGCTTGTTTCGGACGAAAAGAATTTTTGACCATATAAATCTATTGTTTCGTTGTTATATTTTATTAGGAAAGTGCCGTTTAGTGAACTTCTTTCTTGATTTCTAGATATCCGTTGTATTACTTGAATAGTAGCAAGTCATTTCCAATGTCTTCTATTGAGGGGGTATGTTCATTATTTATTTTGATAAATTTTTTTTATCTTAACTTGTGCATAGGTCAATCGGTTTTACTAGCAGCCCTTTTTCACATATCGTTAGGCATATATCGTGTTACTTTGTGTCTTAATTCCAAATAATGTGGCGTTACAATTTAAAAAGTCGCAAATTCTATTTTTTCAAAAATGTTGTTATATTTAACTGGCTTAGATAGGATGACTTTACAATTTTCATTATTATCTATCGAATATATAAGGCATCTTTATTATTTTTTACAATTTTTACTTTGCTGCACGATAGTAATTCATCTATATTGAAGGGCGGGTACCTGAGAATACATTAATACGTTATTTATGTTCCTTATTTAATTGAAACACAGGATGAATGGTTTTAAAATGTTGTATTTTGCCCATGGGATGGTACTCTACGTTTTCCAACTCTTCCTATGAGTTGAAGTTCTTTGTCTGTTTTGTTGACTATTTTGATTTTCGGAAATCCATATTCATATGCTGCCGATAGAGTCTATTGATCTTTTGTAAATGTGTTGTTTGAGGCGCTTTATAAGGAATTTTATGAGTAATGCATGTTGTTTTAGAAACGGGAAAAGAGGTTGTTCTACTATTTCCCTAACTTTACGTTGCGATTTTATTTCTTGTAAAATGATTTCATACTGCATGATATCGATATTATGGATAACTTTGAAATTGCCCTTTTGTATTTTCACTGTTCCTGATTCTATCTTGATGAGTTTTGGGTGCGTGTAGTCCAAGATGCTGAAGGTACCCGTTGCATATGTGAAGATTCATCTGCAAAAATTCAGATTGTCAAAATTGAGAATGTCCTTCGTATCTATCTTTGCTGGTTTATATTTAAGTTTGTGACGGTGTCCTTTAAGGATGCATTTACATCGTTTCATTTTATTATTACTGTTGTTGTTACTTTCTGGAAGTCAATTTTTCTTTTGAAAAATTCGGTATTATCTAATCGATTTTTTTTGTTGGCTCTTTCTTAGGACTAGAACATATCTTTTAAAATATTTGAAGTGCGATTCTTCATCTTTCCTAAATATTATTATATCGTCCATGTAGATGTAGTAGATGTCTTAGGATATCGTCCAATGTTCTTTAGAAAATTGTTGGCGTATTTTTAAGTCCAAATAATAATCTTGTAAATCGTATTTGTCATTGTTGACAGAGCAAGCTGCTTTTTCCATGTCAGTTTCTTTTAGGCGTGTTTGGTAAAGTCCGCTTTTTAAATCCACTATAGTGAAACATTTGGTGTCTCCTAAATTTGCTGGTATCTCGTTTATGACGGGAATGGGCTATCTGCTAGGTACAGTTACTGTGTTTAATTTCCTATAGTCAATAACGAGTCTGTATTACTTTTGTCTTGAAGTGTCGTCGTTTTTGGCGCTATTCAGATGGTTGCGCTGTAAAGTGAACGGGATTTCCTTATAACTCCGTCATCTTGTGGGTTTTTTATTGCCTTTCTTATTATTTCTTTTAAAACTATTGGATATGAGCAGCTTTTGGTATAAATGGGTGTGTCAGTGGTTGTATGTATATTTCCTGTTACAACAGTAGACTAAGTTACTTTTTCATCTAGCTCTATGAAAAGATTCTTGTAGTTTTCTATTCTTTTCTTTATTTGATGTTGTTAACAGTTTGTCATATGTTCGTTATGAATGTTTAAATTATTAATGTTTTGTGCTTTAAGTTTCCATATCGGAATTTTTATAGTAGTTTTTACAAAAATAGTGGTCAGCTGTATGGATTCTGCTGATAAATCCCTTAGAGTATCGTTCCCTAGGATGCCGTCGTTGTTAGTCCTAGTGGCAGATAGCATTTTAAAGGGGTGTTTATATCACCCAGTGTGAGAAATTTGTGTTGAGTTACCTTCAGGTTTCCTGTTTATTATTATTATTATTATTTTAATTTTAGACTAATGAAATAAATTTTTAGACTAAAAAAAAAGACATTGAGCACTAGAAACACAGGCTATCAGCTCTAATTTAAATAAATTTACATTAGATAATGAGCTTAGTAGTATTAATAAAGTAATATATTGAATTGGTGTTCTGTTCTGAAGCTGATTGTAGAATGTTCAAAGGGTTGATCGTTCCAAATGCAATACTTCTAGCCAAGGCAAAGTTGAGGCAGTCGCAGAGAATGTGCTTTATAGTGAGAATTTGTCCACAACAGCGGGAGACTTCTTCAAGACCCATTGTTGAGTTGCAATTGTATGATCAAGGCGAATTCTTGAAAATGTTTGGATCTTGGTTTTCTCCACATTTGTTGGATATAAAGGTGGAGTTAATAGAGGGTTAATGGAAGAGTATTGTTGATGATGGTGTTGTAAATTTCCTTCTGCAATTTTCTCTTTAACTTTTCTTCCAATGTATCTTTGAAGATCCAACTTTTCCATGCTCATTTCCCAGTAAACCGATGTGACTTGGTACCCATAACATTTTAATTTTTCCGTCGGGTGTAGTAATTATATTCCCTAATTTGTTGATGGTGCTCCATCTCGAAGTCGAAGAGTTCCGAATAGCTTGTAATACAGATAAACTGTCGG